CGCCCAGCGTCGCCAGCCGCGCAGACAGCGCCGCGCGCGCGCGCTCGCCCTCGTCGTTGCTCGCTCCCACCAACTCCAGTTCCAAGATCGCTGACTCGATTTGTGTCATTTCTGCCAAAAGATAATCACACCCATGCTAGTCGTATATTGTGCAAAGAGTTGCGATCAAAGATCAACTTTAGAATTAATTGTTGACAAGCTGTTGCTCGCGACTTCGTCCCCGGGAAATTAAAAAAAATAGTCTATGCTACTCACTGATGACGTAGCTTTTTAATGGTGAAAGTACATTTAAAATCGGCCCAGTAGTTTTTGGGTTATTACATACAAAAATACAAATCTTTTATCTTTATAATATTAGTATAGATTTACATGATATGGTTGTGTACGGTGTGTATAGTCCGATTAACTTCAAGTTACGACGAACGAACGACTAGCTCTCGTTCTCAGAATAAAAGCGAACTTAGTGAGCAAATAAGACTTAGTGCGGCAGTTTGTATAGCAGGGATGTGTGTCTGTACGTCAGTATTGTAGTGAGATGTGTGTAGTTACCGCAGGGGGCGGCGGCGGGGGCGGGGGGCGGGGGGCGGCGCTGTCCGGCCGCGTCCACGCACCAGCAGCGGCCGCGCGCGCACTGCTGCGGCGCGAACGACCCGTCCGACAGGCAGCGCGGCTCCACACTCTCACTGCCTGCAAGATAAAATTCAGTGACAATTATTACCATAGCAGAATAGACATTTATTGATGTTCAAACTTTCTCTATAACGAAGTTACAAGAGTGTCAAGAGTGCCTGAAACGCTTCAAGAAAATAGTGTTCGGGGGTGCTAGGCTTGGCGGGTGCACCCGAATATTGTGAAACTAGTTTTGCTGTAACACAAGCTAAAGTCAAGACAATGAAATTAATTCATCTTCACTACATTACTTCTGCCTAGTATTATCATCATCCACTTGCCCTTATCCCTTATGGAGGGTCGGCACAGTATGTGCTGCTCTTCCATACATCTCTATCAGCCGTCATATCTGAATTCACTCCTTTCTTAAGCATATCTTCTTTCACACAATCCATCCATACTTTCTTCGGTCTTCCTCTTCCTTTGTAGCCATCCACATTCAATCTCAACACTTTCTGGTTTATGTCCCCATCATTTCGTCGCATAACATGTCCATACCACGCTAACCTTTTGCTTCTCAATTTCTCCACCACTGGCGCTACTTTCAAACTTCCTCTAATGTACACACCTACCTAGTATTATAGAAGAGAAAATTTAGGTGGATACATTTAGAGTTTAAAGCCTAAACGGCTTAACGGATCTTAATGATATTTAGCATATGTGTAGAGGATAGTCTGGAACAACACATAGGTTAGCTAATTACTTTTTTTTTAACTCAACGCGGATGGAAATGTGGGCCACAACAAGTTACTATCTATTTTTACAATCGTAAAACGAGGAACATTGTCTTTACGTATTCATTTTTGTCGTGTTGTGTTTACCTTTCTCCGCTTCTTCCAATAAAACTTGACATTTAGTTTTGAAGACGATCTTCTCTGAGATGACAACTGGCTCGTCGTGTCGCGTGGTCTGCGCGATGCGGGGCTCCACCACCTCCGACACCAGCAGCGCCGCAGACTCCGTTGTAATCTCCTTCGATTGCTCGTTCTCTAATTCTTCTTCTAGATCTTCCTCTTCCAATTCTTCTACTCTATATGACGTCATCTGACGGATTAGTTCTTCTAGTACTGAAAAATGTACGTTAAAAATATTACTTAAAGCCATTTTAAAGTGTTTTTTTAATTAGTAACAGAAAGTCTTTATATTTCATTGGAGATAGACATCAA